TGAAAATCTGTAGGAAACAACTACATTATTACAATTCTATAAATACAATTCATTGCCTATGTATTAAGATTAGGTTTTAGACTTGCACATTGGGTCTGGGGTCAGAACTCCTGGGTTAATCAAAGGAGGATATATCTAGCACCAAAGTCAGATTCTTTCTTTTTTCTCTCATCAATTGTTCATGTTTCTCTTTTATTAGATAGGATTTATTTAATATATTTTTTTATTGATTTTTATACAAAGATGAAGGGAGAGAGATAGAGAGTTAGAAACGTTGATGAGAGAGAAACATCGATCAGCTGCCTCCTGCACATCTCCTACTGAGGATGTACCCGCAACCCAGGTACATGCCCTTGACCAGAATCGAACCTGGGACCTCTCAGTTCGCAGGCTGGCGCTCTGTCCACTGAGCCAAACCAATTTCGGCCATAATTTTATTTTTGTAAAAGAAAGAGGCACACACATGTGGTGTGTGAGTGTGTGTGTGAAAAGAGAGAGTCTGGAATGATATACATGAAATAGGAACAGTTACATCTAGGCAGCAGAATTAGAGATAATTTTTATTCCCTGTGTTTTCTAATGGTTATTCAATGAGCATTCAATTGCTGGGTGACAAAGGGGAAGTGCTTATCATTCCTGACAAAGTCACGTGAATCCATCACTTCTAGAGGCTGAGAGGAACTTCATCTAACCTATTGTTGATGTTGTAGGGAAGAACATGAGCCAGCCAAACAAAAGCAAGAGCTGCTCCTTGCATGAAGTGGATGAGCTGATGAGAACTGTGCAGCTGGCGGTGCACATCCCCACCTTCCTCCTGGGTCTACTTCTCAATGTGCTGGCCATCCAACGCTTCCGCACCTTCCTGAAGAAGAGGTGGCCGGAGTATGCTGCCACCTCCATCTACATGATCAACTTGGCGGTCTTTGATCTCCTGCTGGTGCTCTCGCTCCCATTCAAGGTTGCCCTGGGCCATGTGCAGGTTCCCTTACAATCTCTCTGTACGTTTGTGGAGTGCCTGTACTTTATCAGCATGTATGGCAGTGTCTTCACAATCTGCTTCATCAGCCTGGATAGATTCTTGGCCATCCGGTACCCGATCCTGGTCAGCCACTGCCGGTCCCCTAGGAAGATTTTTGGGATCTGCTTCACCATCTGGGTCCTGGTGTGGGTTGGGAGTATCCCCATCTACAACTTCCATGGGAAAGTGGAAAAAGTGTACACATGCTTCCACAATATGTCTGATGACACCTGGAGTGCCAAGGTCTTCTTCCCTCTTGAGGTGTTTGGCTTCCTTCTTCCCATGGGCATCATGGGTTTCTGCTCCTTCAGGAGCATTCACGTTCTGGTTGGCCGCCTGGACCACAGCCAAGATTGGGGCCAGCAGAGGGCCTGCATCTGGACTATTGCATCCAGTCTGGCTGTCTTCGTGGTCTCCACCTTGGTTTCTTCTTGCAGTTTCTGGTGAGGAATGGCTTTATTGTGGAGTGCAGAGCTAAATGGAACATCAGCTTGTTCTTACAGTTGTCTATGTGTCTTTCCAACATCAACTGCTGCCTGGATGTTTTCTGCTACTACTTTGTCATCAAAGAATTCCGCACAGGCATCATGGCCCGCCAGCGTTCTGGAGGCCAGCTGGCCCTCTCGGATACCGTGACCACCAGAGGCTAAGAGAAGAAAGTCCTGCTCAGAGGAAGGAAACCCCAATCCCGAACTCCAGGAGCAGATATCCCGTCCCAAGACTGTATTGTGTGGGATGATATATGGTGCTTTGACTGGTTTGCTTTCCTTTTAGATGCTCATTGAATGCTGTGCCTGCTCATTATGCTCCAAAGACCTTCCCACCACACCCAGACAGCTCAACATAAATCACCCAGTGTTTTGGGATTCCTGATGAACCTAAGAACCAGTTGAATTCTTGATTTCTAAGTACAAAAAGCATGAGGAAGAATAATTGAGGAAGAAGATGAGTCCATATGGACAAGGCTGGTTCTCAACTCTCCCCTACCTCTTGTTAGATCTGAAGATTTTGGAAAGGAAGAGAGAGTGGAGTTAGGAGAGAGAATCAAGAAGATCAGTCATGATGGCAGGTATCCTGGGCCAAGATGCAGTGATAGGGATGGATCCAGCTCCTCTTTAGTTTGGGGATCCCTAGGGGGTGGGGAGCAGACTTGTGCTTTCCAGTCCCTTCTGGGGCTCTGTTGGCCAACAGCCTTGCAGAGATGACAGCAAGTGGGATGATCAGAGCAGAACAAGTACACACAAAGAGCCCCAAGTTTCTTATGGGCTTTTGAAAGGCCTGGAAAGCCCACAAAAAGTTGCAGAAGAGTGAAGGGGATGGTGTGGACCAGGCTATGGTGAAGCTGCAGATACTTTGTGGAAGCAGTGGGGTCAGAGTGGATAGTTGTTGGTGAGACCTGAGAGCCATGAGGATACAGCTGTGGAAGGAAGGAGACAGGCCAAGGGCAGCTCTTCCCCCATTGCCACAGGGGTGTCCACTGCCTGAAGTTTTAGCACATGCCTGCGGGTGGAGAGGCAGTGGTAACAAGCCTGGGAGAAAGGAAATGCCTGAATATGACTAGTTTGCTATCTTGAACAGACGGGGGAGTTATTCATTAGACTTAGATTCCCTAAGAATGATGACACATAATCAGGCTTGATTTGGTTCAGCCAGAGGAGAATAAAGAACATGTGTGTGTCTTGCCTGCCTGAGTCCTGATTGGGCAGCTGGCCACAGTAGTGTGTTCACAGAGCTGTCCTCTCCAGTGGCTGGGAAGGAGAAAATGAGTCAGCCAGGAATGGAGGACCCATCTTGAGGACCCAAGGCTCTTGGCAGTTCCTGGTTGGAGGTTGTAAACTGTTGAGTCACAACTTGGCTCGGGCTCCTGTCATGATCAGAGAAGGAGCAGTGGTGACAGCTGAAAGCCTTCAATGACTCAGCTGCTCCAGATAGCCAAATGATTGCAAGGGTAAATTAGATTGTGGGGTGGTTTTGGAGGGTGGAGTGAGTGGGATGAGAAGTAACAAATGAGACAAGGGGAAGGTTTTCCGGAAGAAGAGCAACCCCCTTCTACTTGTGGGATAAGAGGCTTCCACAACCAAGTGGTGGACAGGAAGGTGGGGTGATCATGGGAGAGGAAGAGGGTGGTTTAGATAAAACCTAATGGGAGGAAGAGGTGAGGTTGGGTGATTGCCAATTGCATGATGACATGGAGTTCTGTGAGAAGGTGGGGGTGAGCAGGAAGGATGGAGGGCTGAGCTGCTTCCAGCCTGAGAGTCCCTAACTTGACTGAGATCCATGGGAGGGCAGGAGCCCCTCGCCTGCCTCCCTGCAGCTGCCTCAGTAGTGAGGTGCACTCGGTGGGCTGGAGGGAAAGGTGAAAGTACCAATACAGAGGTGGGAATGGGTATGGAGGATTGATCAGCCCAGGACCAGAGGCTCCTGCCGCTCAAACTGGACCTCCAGGGACCAGCAACTGGGCCACACAGACCCCACAAGCCCTATGTTCCCTCCAGTGCTGGGTCCACCCTTTCTCCCACCATCTGGTCCCATGACCATGACACTGGAGCTGCATCCAAGGGCCCTGGCTCCTCTGTATACACCATGGCCCAGCACAGAAGACCTGCTGGCCACTGATGGCATGAAGACACGGCCAGTTCTCCAGAAGCCGTCTATTGCTGACTCTCCCTCCTGACCACTCCCAGGTTAGATCTGAATTTTCCTTCATGGCTCCTCACATGTGAATCCTACTAACCTCTCCAGACCTCCTGGAGAATGTGAAGAACTGCTAGGCACTGGCCTGGGCCACTCTTTTCTTCTGAGTTCCTCACACTCCTGAGCACAGCCTAGTCATGGCCTGGGTATCGATGGCTAACTGAGAACATCTTTACTCCTCGACAGTTGCTGTGGACTGAACTGTGTCCCCCTAAAATCCATATATTAAAGCCCTAGCCCCAATATGATGGTATTTGAAGGTGGAGCCTCTGGGAGATGCTTAGATTAGATGAGGTCCTGGCGGTGGAGCCCTCTTGATGTATGTGCCCTTGTAAGACGAGACACCAGAGCACTTCCTTCCTCTCTCTCTCTCCACCTGCACCCACTGAAAAAAGCCATGTGAGGACACAGGGAGAAGGTGGCTATCTGCAACCCAAGGAGACAACCCTTAGCAGACATTAACTCTGTTGGTGCCTTGTTCTTGGATTTTGGGCCTCCAGAACCATGAGAAATAAATTCATATTGTTAAAGCCACCCAGTCTGTGGTATTTTGTTATGGAAGCCCCAGAAGGCTAATACAACAGTCATCTTCCGCTAACCCAGGAGCCACATCCCCTCAGGGCAAGGACTGACCCTCCCTGGACTGTTGGCCTTTGGGGAGCATGTGACGGGGAGAATGCTAGTCTACGAGCTGCATTTGTCAACTATATTCCTCTTGAGTCCCTCTCTGGTGACCCTGTGAAGCTGAAAATCATTATATTAATGCTGTACAGCTGCAGCAGGATACTAGTGGCATTTGGAACAGTAAGATACAGCCTTGTAGCAAGTTGCTACAAATAATCAGTCATTGCAAAGCAGTTTGAAATGGCTGAGACTTGGTAGGCGACTGTAGAGACTAATGGAGGTTAAGAAGGATTTTGTTAATGGATCGGTGAGGACAGAAACTGAGAAGGGCAACCATGTGGAAGTGAGGACAGGTTGGTGTGCAGATCAGTCCCTAGGTACAGAGGGAGGTGTCCCCACATAGGAACCGTGTGGACCTGGTGGAGCAGCCCACACCACACTACCCTCCATGCGTCCTAGACAATAGGCTGTGCTGTGAACAGCAACCATCCAGGGCCAGGGGGAGGCAACTGAGGCCACTGTGAGAACCCTACTGCTGAGGAGGCAGGGGACTCAAAGACCCACAAAGTGATGCTTTTGGGAGTAGCACCCCTGAAACTGCCGTCATAGCCACCTCTTGCTTTTTCCACCCAGAGCCGGCTCCTCTAGCGAGCCGAGGACACAGAGCTGTGAATGGGCATTGAAGGATGTTCATGGCAGGTGAAGGTGGACTCTGGGAGCTTAAGACAGAGGCGTCCTTTCTCCCCAGTTCAGGACTGAGCATCCCATCCCCACCAAGAGCCTGAGATGCATCCCCCTCACTAAGCTACTGCAGAAGGGGCCCTTCGGGTGCTTGAACTGTGAGCCGTGACCTAAACTTGGCCCTCAACTCTTTTAAGTTTCAGAGTCAGGATCCAAAGCGCTGTCACTTCAAAGCCTGACATGAGTTCTGCTTGTTGGAGGGCCCCCGCATTCACTCTGAGGTCTCAGGCAGCCTTTGTTCTGGAGGCTGTCGCTTGAGCAAGTGTAACCAAGACGCTGTCTGCAGGGAGGCTGTTAAGACCCCAGGCTCCACAGAGCACCCACAGTCTCACAAAAGGTGTGAAGGGAGGGGGGCTGTGTAATGTCCTCAGCAAAGTGTGTTCTCTGTGGTCCTATTTCCAAATATAGTCACACTAGAGGCCTGGTGCACAAAATTCATGTGGGGCGGGGTGTCCCTCAGCCCATCCTGCACCCTCTCCAATCTGGGACCCCTCGGGGGATGTCAGACTGCTGTTTTAGGCCCCATCCCTGTGGGATCGAGCCTAAACCGGCAGTTGGACATCCCTCTCACAATCCGGGACTGCCGGCTCCCAAACACTCACCTGCTGGCCTGCCTGATTGCCCTTAACTGCTTCTGCCTACCAGACTGGTCACCCTCTAACCACTTCCCTGCCAACCTGATCAACGCCTAACTGCTCCCCTGCTGGCCCCATTGCCCCCAACTGCCCTCCCCTGCAGGCCTGGTCCCCACCAACTGCCCTCCCTCCCCTGCTGGCCTGGTTGCCCCTAACTCCCCTCCCCTGCCGGCCTGATTGCCCAGCACGGCCTGCCTGATTGCCCTTAACTGCTTCTGCCTACCAGACTGGTCACCCTCTAACCACTTCCCTGCCAACCTGATCAACGCCTAACTGCTCCCCTGCTGGCCCCATTGCCCCCAACTGCCCTCCCCTGCAGGCCTGGTCCCCACCAACTGCCCTCCCTCCCCTGCTGGCCTGGTTGCCCCTAACTCCCCTCCCCTGCCGGCCTGATTGCCCAGCACTTCCCTCCCCTGCCAGCCATCTTGTGGCGGCCATCTTGTGACCACATGGGGGCGGCCATCTTGTTCGAGGACATGATGGTCAATTTGCATATCACTGCATTATTATATAGGAATGGGGATTAGGGCTCCAACATGTGAGTTTTAGGGGACACAATTCAGCACATTGTATATGGATTTACTCTGCGCTTCTTTTGTTTCTTCAAATTGAATGTAACTCTCTCTGAGCTCATTGGCTTTACTGTAGGATTGTCCAGCTCCATCCCCTGGGGCCCCCCTCCCCTTCTCAGGTCCCTGCACAAGCCATAGGGCAGTGTCCCTCAATGGCTGAACTATTTTCAGAGGCCTATGTATCCAGTTTACATTGGTCACAGCCACTGTGTCCCTTTAACAGGGTTTAACAGGCCTTTAGATCAGGCTCATGCCTGTGGCTCTGACACCTCTGTGTAAGTGGCCTTTCTCCTTCAAGCCTGAGGAGCCCTCCAGCCGTCTGCCACTTTGGAGGGTCTTCTAGGAACCAGGCTTGGGGAGTTGTCGCTCTAACCTCCCCGTATT